TTTGCTCTTCCTCCCTGCCCCCCCCCCCCCCCGAAGTGTCAGATTGGAACTTGATAGTGCTATAAAAACTTTCAGTTCTCATTAAAAGTTGCTAAATTCAAATTAATTTGCAGTGGATCTAAAAACAGAAAATCATCTACTTGACAACTCCATTAATGAAATGGTTTTTTTTGTTCTTTTATTACTTAGTGACACATACTTAAAGACTGGATTTGTGTTTCATTATCGTGTATATTTCTTGATACTGTTTTGTAAAGGTAGACTGGACCAATTAAAATAGAACTGTAGATCTTGATGTTTGAATCTTTACAGATTGAAGAAGGCGTTATGGTGATGGAAGATGATTCTCCTGAGGAGGCTGTTAGTACCCCAAATACACCCCGCAACCTTGCCGCATGGAAAATTAGCATCCCATATGTAGATTTTTTTGATGATCCCTCTTTGGAAAGAAAAGACAGAAAGGAGAGAATTCCTGTGTTCTGCATTGATGTTGAGAGAAATGATAGAAGGGCAGGTATGCAGTACTGTGGATAAATAAAATGTCATTTAAAAAAGAACTCAGAGTATTCTAGTGTGCTGTACTCTGATGGCTGTTGCAGTGTGTTTTGCATACATGTTCTTCTGATTTTGAAACAATGACTTGAAAATTCTGAGGAGATGTGTTTGAGAGCTAAATGATCTCATTTAGTATTTGCAAATTGAGAACTGACTTCTCAGCACGAATCAGTTCCATTTAGACTTCGTGCCAAAGTTTGAGATTTTCTTTTTCCAAAAACTACTGATCTTATGAATCATATTAATAAACATGTGGCATATTTTTATTTCACCCACTCTGAACTTTGGAATAATGAACAGTAAATAACTTTATAACCTTAAAATATAGTTCTTGGGAAATGAAAATGTTTTCCTTATTAGGAACCATCCTGGCTTGCAGATAGTTTATCAGTATTTAGATAGCAATACATACATACTGAGTGGGGAAAACAGCATCATCCTGGGGTTGCATAGATTTGTGTTAGGGAAGCTAATACTTCCACAATAAGTAGGAAGTGTTTAAGAGCTATTTAGTGATATCTTTGAGGAGGAAGAATGATCAGGATTCAAGCTGATGGTGCAGAGGACTGTATTCAACAAGTAGTATTTCTGTAAATCATTTGGTTAAAAGTTTGAAAATATGTCTAACATAGTCAGCTCTGATACATTTTGAAGTTACGCAGTGCTCCATTGTTTAGACTTTAGGGATTCCCTAAATGAGATGATAATTTCCATGTTCGTACCCTGCCTGTCTACCAGGTGTGCATTTTAGCTTAACACTTAAATTATCTGGCTGGGATATTTTTTTGTTATGGCAATAGGGGGGGCTAATATCATTGAGGTTTTTCCTATAATAATCCAACATACACTTGCTGTTTTTTAATTCATCTCTCAAGTGGCATAAAACCTGGTTTGTTTTTAATGTTGGTTTGGGTCTCTTTTCCCCCTAGTTGGGCATGAACCTGAACACTGGTCTGTCTACAGGAGGTATCTTGAATTTTATGTGCTTGAGTCGAAGCTAACGGAATTTCATGGTACGTTCTCCATCATCTGGAAAGCCACTTTCCCACTGCTGTGATTATCATTCAGTGCTGAGCTGAAATTTAAAATAATGAAACCAATTTTTGCTGCATTACAAGAATAATTTAATCTCCTTGATATCTTTATTAGGTACGTTTCCTGATGCTCAGCTTCCCTCAAAGAGAATCATTGGCCCCAAGAACTACGAGTTCTTAAAATCCAAGAGAGAGGAGTTTCAGGAATATCTGCAGGTATCAAGCAGACTTCTGGAGCAAAGAATATTCTAAATATTATAAGATTAATAAAACAATGTCTGCTATTTTTTTTGTTTGTTTCCAAGCAACTTGGGTTATAGAAAGGATTGAAGTGGGCAGATAAAACTTGTTAAAGCTTCATGTGACTGAAAACAGAAATTACAGTATCTGTGGTAATATAATGCTCTTTGGATACCTGTCTTTGCTGAAGAGAAACTGATTTTTAAAGATGAGTTTTGAAGTACTTACACTTCTTTCTTTCCTTCTGTCTCAAAGAAACTTCTGCAACATCCAGAACTAAGCAACAGCCAGCTTTTAGCTGACTTCCTGTCCCCTAATGGAGGAGAGACTCAGTTTCTTGATAAAATGTTGCCTGATGTGAATCTTGGTATGTAATATGCTAGTTGTTTATGCTGACAAATAGTAATACTGTAGATACTGTGATTGAATGATAGTAGTAATGAATAGATAACTCTTGTGGAAGGATATGGAGGTGGGTAATAAGAACTTTGCTCCTTCACAGCCCTTAAAATTGTAGCTCAAGAAGCAAGATATGCTGATACCTTTTCCTTGAAGAAAAAGAATGTTTTGAGATTATGGAAAAAAGTGTTTAAGTGGTTGCTTTTGAATCTTTATGTCCGCAAGCAAGGTGATAAGATTCCTCTAACAAATTTCATAGTTCAAGAAGACGTACGGTATTGTCATGAGTCAAATCTGCAGAAGTCCATCATTGTTTACAGGTGTGACGGTATAAATGATTTCTTAATATAAACTACCTTTGGGTGTTAGGTGATTTAAAATCTGTTTATTTTAATCTGAAAACTGCAATATTAAATAATTTCTAGTATCAGAATTAAGATCTCTTTTAACATGAGCTACGTAATAGAATTTGAGGCAGTGGGGTGTCTGATAGAGGCAGGCCAAATGAAAATTGAGGAGTTGAGAAATTCTTGATGTCTAATGTAACAGTTGATAATAAATCCAAAAAGTAGACTGCAGTGTGACTTTACATCTTGGCTGCAATGTAGCTGTCTCAGGATAATGGTCCTGAGCTGGCAAGGTCAACCTCGTGGCCATTCTGTCTTTGTGTATTGTAGCACTTGTGGTTCTGGCACCAGCGTGGTCCAGGAAAGCTGTGTCTGAACTGTGCCACTGCATTTCTGCTTCTCCTGGTCCTTGTGTGAACCTGCTGGGGTGGTTGTTCTTTTAGTGTGTTTACTGAGTTGTTGAGTGAGATTTCAGTGGTCATCTTCCAGTTAAAGGGTTTTGTTTCAGACCTCTCCTCTAGATCCAACTGTACATTGTTAAAAAAAGCTTATAACTATGGTGTTTACTGTAATGCATCTAATGTCTGAGACCGTGCTTCGCTTCGCTAAACATAATTTTAAAAAGTCTTGGCATTTGGTGAGAATGAGCAATTTTATTATTATCATTTGGTCATTGTACATATTTTCTGATGTAAGTTCCAAATTTAATGACATGTAGATATGAAAAATAATACTGTAAATGTAGTGCTTAAAATAAAACTAATCCTAGACACTTTCATTTCTCAGCGTTAAGTTACTATGGTGTATCCTGATAGCCTTAACAGAACAGAAGAGCTGATTTTTAAGACCACAGCTGTAGCCTGTCCAATTTATAAAACTTTACTCACCAGTATTTTCAAGACTGGATCCTTCCAGAATCTCTCCAGATGAGCTGATCTTTTCAG